CAGACATTTGCCGTTTCCGGTATTTTCTGGTTTTCCGGCGTGATCGGCGCTGGGAGCCTCTGGTTGTGTCTGATGTAGGAGTGACACCTGAGGAGGAGGAAGAGAAGCCCTGTCCGTGCTCCTGATTGCTGTTCAAGCGCATTGTGGAGCCGTAGCCGGACTCGCTCGTGCTTCACTGGGACCGTGCGCGGGACGGGCAGCACCCTGCGATCTGCATGTGCCCGGGTCAGTCCCACTCCCCACCAGCTGATTCTCCCTCCTTTCCCTTCTCCCCGTCCCGACCAGTCCCGACCCCCTTCCGGCTGGTTCTCCCCCGGCCAGCACCGCTCCCCTCCTGGCCGGTCCCTTCCCCCTTCCCCCCATGAAGCGTGTCCGGTATTTTTTTTTTATGACTACCTGGTAACCCTATATATTGGTCAGGGTGTAAGACACAGGGCTAAATATTGGGACTGCACAGATTTTTTTATCAATGGCCCCTCAAAGCGCAGGGCTGGGATGGTTGCCCTAATTTGCCCTACCCAAGGGGCGGCTCTTCTGCTAAAATCAAGCATACTATTTAGATAGGCCTCAGTCTGGCTAAGAACTTAAAGTTAGGCATGTGATTAACAATTGTACATTGTCTCACTGTGGCTAAGCATATGCTTAAATGTTTATTGAATCAGGGATTTATTGTGTCACTCCTTTGTCAGGGGGAAGGATGGCTTCTTATAAGGCCTGGGGCTGGGAGCCGAGAGATCTGAGACTTTTTCTGACCCATCAGTTACAGTTGTATGTGGCCTGTGGCAAGTTCATTATTGCTTTCTCTATGTTGTAAGTTGACAAGGGAATTTGAGAGTTCTTTGCATATTTGCATGTTGAGCTCTGGGGACATCTGGGCAGACTGGTAGTGGGGATGGACAGTAACCTACAAGATTTCTCCTCCAGTAAAAAGGATAACATTTGTATTTTGCTATCTTTTGTTTCAGTTGGGATTGCATTTTACAATATGTATTCAAAGACTAGGTAATGTGTTCGACGATGAAAAATGATCCATTAGTCAAAACAAAACAAAAACACAAACAAAAAAAACCAAACCCCCGAAACAAAAAACAAACCATATAAAAACAAATTCCACTGGGTGGTTCACAGTGTCTCATTATTCTGAGGCCTCTCTGGCTACATCTACCAAGCAGTGTTATTTCGCAATGACGTCATATATTCCAAAATAACGTAGTGTACATCTACACAGCAAGCCTGTAATTTCAAAATAAATTTGAAATAACGGGCTTCTTACTCTGACTCCTATAACCCTCATTATATGAGGAGTAAGGGAAGTTGGGGGAAGAGTGCTCTATTTCGAAAAAACTGCTGTGTAGACAGTGACAAATTGAAATTAATCTATTTCGACTTGGGCTACACTAATTGTGTAGCTTAAGTTGAGTAGCTTATTTTGCGTTTATCCCTGCTGTGTAGATGTGCCCTTTGTGTCTGTCTTCATCCAGTATGATAGTGTAATGATATGAAGTGTCCTAAATTCAATTTGGGTGCCATGCAAGCACAGTATGAAAGTTGCTAATATGATAGTAGTTTTGTCTTGACTTAGACACTTGTAAATTGCTACTGAATTTGAGGGCCCACTTTTAAATAAACTGCTCTTTTCCCCCAAAATTTAGAGCAGGAAGATCATTATGCTCAAACTGGCAGAGTATCAACATTTTAATTCCAGTTGATAGGACATAAATTTGGCATAGCAAAATGACTTGATGCTTTCTAGAAACCAAATCTTCCAAATAATTCATTTAAATTTTAAATGAAAATATCTGTTTAATTTCAGGGAATATTAACATTGATGTAAAAGTATCAGATCACGAGTCACTACAAAATGGTCAATCGACATTTTTTCTTGTTTTTTTCCGTCTATAGATGAAGGGTAAAATTTTCAAATGTGTCTAACTGATTTAGGAGCTTAAGGCCTTATCTACATTTAAGATTTGCCAGTTTAACTATATTAGTGTAGTTAAACCAGGAAACCTCTCCTAGTATAGATGCAGTTATATCTGTGTTGAAAGATTTATATAGTTTATGCTGGTCTGAGCTATACTGGTAAGCACAGGTTGAATCTCCCAAATCTGGGACTCTGGTCCCGCAACATCCATAGTTGGGCAGTGGGAGACATCCGTGGAGATGGCAGTGGGAGACAATGTGAGAGCTGTGGAGCTCTGTCTGGCACAGCTGCTGTTGGCACAGCCTGACAGCAGCTAGGGAGCCTCTGACCTGGCCAGAGAACCCCTGACATCAACTGGGCCGGGCCAGGCGTGGCTGGGGAGCCCCCACACCTCCAGGGGAATCCTCGGTGTCAGCTGGGCCAGGCGGCTGGGGAGTCCCAGCCCCAGCCGAGGGGGCTGCTGGCTGCTGAGGGGCTGCCAACAGTGAGAGGCTCGGCCAGGGAACCTCCAGCAGCAGCAGGACCTGCAGCAGCCAGGTAGCCTCTGCTGTAACCCTGGGAAATCCCCGGTGGCAACGGAGCTGGGGTGACTGGGCAGCACCAGCCCAGAGTGTCCCGGCTGAAGTGGAGCTGGTGGAGGCAGCTGGGAAACCCCAAGGAATCGCTGGTCACAGAAGGGCCATCCCTAGAAAGGTGCGGGGTAGTTGGGTGGTCCCTGCTGGAGAACTCCCTGCAGCAGCGGGGCCGCAGCTGCCAGGGAGCCCTGGCTGGGAACCACTGGGCGTGTTGAGATAGCCTGTAGGCAGCAGCATGAGTAGCCCCTGCCGAGCCAGAGCAGCGCGGGGATCCCGGGAACGGGCAGCCACCGGGGAGCAATGACCTTCCCTGGTCTGACAAACTCCCTAGTTCAGGACAGCTCCCGTCCCAAGGGTGTCAGACCAAGGAGGTCCATCCTGTTCTTTGATTCTAGTGTAATTGCATTGCATTAGGGCTCTTACTGGCATAGCTGGATTGGTAAAAATCATCACCTTCACTAACATAGCTGTGCTGCAAAAACTTTTGTGACTTAGGCACTTAGACATGGGTCCACAAAGGGATTTGGGTACCCATCTGCGACTTTACGCACCGAAAATTAATTCCACAAAGACCCTGTTCAGCTGTCACCGGCTAAACCCGATAGATGGCTAAGTTTCTTACAGTGTGCATGCAT